ATGTTCAAATAAATGTTCCCTATCCAGTATGTTGAAAGTATTTTCCTAGTCTTAGCGGTTCTTCAATGTCTACGACTTCCACGTGAAGCTTCCTGTAAGTTTCCATTTTTCGATGATATCGAACTCTTTGACTCGACCGTTAAAGTGTTAATCACACTCCTTAAATAGAATATTCCCCTTTTGTTACTTGTATCATCAACCATGTTTAACGACAAGGTCTCAAAAGAAAGTGTTTCTTTTATTATCAAAAGGGCAATGATAAAAGAGAGTTTTTCTTCGTGATCGAGTCGTCAGATTGTAAAATTACCGATGTCTTTATGTTTTCATAGTAAATTAACCGTTGATGCTGATTCCTACTCGAGCCACTTGTGTTTCACAACCTTGTTTAATAGTAAAGTAGCCTGTTAGCTCGTTTGATTTTACAATATTCAGAAAGCAATTTTGAAAAAAAAAATACAACCGGTCTACGAGGATTAAAGGACCTTTTCCCCTAGTGTAGATCTTTTTTCCAATGGCTTACGCTGTATTAAATTAAGCTGTTTAGAGTTGGAACTGAAGTGGAACCCATCAAATTTTAAAGCCAGAGTAGATATTACAGGAATTGCTAGTGTTTGAAGACAAGTGTGCCCTCATGAGTGGTGATACTAATGCGTGGCAGACCCACAAACTACAGATTGAACAAATTTGCACATCAGTGATTCGTGACGCAAAAGACACTTTTTACCCGCACTTAGAGTGGTGTGTTAACGCCACAACGGAAGCCCTTGTGCAAGTGACGTTTTCTAATTTTAAAAGACAGCAAATAGTAACTAATTATGACTAGGCAGGCGTTATGACAAAATATTACTTGTTTCCGCGACAGATAAACTATGGGAGGAAGGGGAAAACTCCCTATTAAAGTCAAAATGACATCGACGACCGAGAATTCATCCAATAAGTTATAATTTTTTGGCTTCCTTTATAGTGTCATATGCTTTTCAAAACCTTGTTTCATCGCTCACTTCGACCTTCCGTCCCTTGTCCAAGGGACGATAACCAAGCACTGCTTTCAATTCTTTGATTGGAATCTTGTTTCAGCATTTTGTTCCACAGCCTTTGACAACTTCTCTGAATTCTCTTGTACATATTGGAAATATATTTGTTTTCATTTGAATGATATTTACCAAATTTTTTCAAAATATTTTTGTATGTAATATAAAATAAATTAGAAAACAAAAAAGTTCCAGAAGAAAGAATTCAGAATTTTAATCAAAGAAGAAGCAACTGGAGATTTCAAATGGTGATATCTCTTGACATCCATCTCGCGGAATACAGACCATTAAACGCAGCTCTTACGTCGAACTCCCGGAGTTCATCATAAAAAGGAAGGCACTTGTGAACTTTAAAAATGCAGATAATCAGTGTTTCAAGTGGTGCATGACGAGAGTGCTTGATCCAGTTGAGAAAGACCCTCAACAATGACAAAGGATCACGAAACTCCTTCGAGCACGATCTGAGCAGCTTGATTAGAGTAATATCAACTTCCCTATGAAGCTGACTAACATAAACGAGCTTGAAAAGCAAAATGAAAACATTGCAGTTAACGTGCATGGTTATGAACGTGATTTTTATGCATCGAGGATCAGCGAAGAGATAAAAAAGGGTCTTCTCATATCAGATGTACACTATGGTCTAATGAAAAGCATGAGCAGACTGCTAGCAAGTCAAACCCCAAGGATAAGAGAGCGAAAGAATATTGCCTCAGGTGTCTGAACCACTCCTCAAGCAAAGAAAAGCTTTCTCTCCCTTAAGAGTATTGCCCAAGAAATAAGGTAGTCAGGATCGAGATGCCAGATAAGGGTAGTGTAATAAAATTCAAGAATCATAACCGCTTAATAAAAGTACCCTTCGTGATTTATGCTGACTTTGAGGCTAGTGCTGAAGCAGGCAGAAGTTGTGGGCCAAGCATTGATAAGAGTTTCACAAATAAATTCCAGAAACATAAACCACGTGGGTTTGGCTATCACATCGTTTGCTTTTACGATAAGCTTTATTCTCAAGAGCAACAGCGAGGATGAAGATGTTGCTCAGATCTTTCACATATGTTTAATTGACGTCACTTTCTTTTAATGGCGTAATTCACCAAACCTGTGTAGCCCTTGGTGAATACTTTGAACACATTACAGTGTAGCCCTGATGTGACAGTTTCCGGACCCAAAATGTTTGGAAATAACAGGGGTATTCAATGGATTGATGAACTTGTTCGTCATACTCCAATCACTCTGAAATTAGTGTAAAATATTTTGGAATAAATCTTAAGTAGACATAGTTTGATGCTACTCTGGTTTGCAGATTTAATGAATGTAACCGAAGAAGTTACAATTCATAGACCCAACGTTTCGACACTCCTGTCTAGTGCCTTCATCAGGGGTGATCTAAACGCTGCAACAAGAGGTCCTTTTATATGATCACTAATTAGCGGCCTTTTTTTCTGACGAGGTGTAAATAGGCGTCAGGAAGCAAACCGCCATCGTCACGATTTAAAGGAGCGTGGGCGGAGTTAATATGCCAAGCCTCCAAACAAAGGCGCTGGTGGTAACGCCGATTAGTGGTGATAATTTAAGAATTATCCCTCCCAATGGTATGGTTAGTTAGGCATGTATGCTCCGATAAAGCTAAATTTTCCTTTTTGCAAAGGAAAACCGCTTTTTGGTGCTCTTTTAACTGTGTACCAAACTGACGTTTGGTCTGTCCGATGTATTCGTTGTCACAGTCATTGCAAGGAATAGAATAAATGGCGTCGGTTCGTTGTTCTTTCGTGACAGGATCCTTAGGTTTGGCGAAAATATGCCCCAAAGTCTGAAAAGGTTTTTGAGCAACTTTAACGTTGTGGCTATTCAAAATTCTCTTGATGGGTTCCGTAACACCCTGTATGTAAGGAATAACAGCAAAACCAGTCGCTGGTTCCCTTTCATCAAGAGCGTTACTATTTGTAACTGGTTTTTGGCAGTTACGGAGAAAAGTTTTTGTATAGCCATTTGCCTTTAGGACATTGGAAACATATTTCCTCTCCTCAGCCTTTGAATCGAATGAAGATGGTAGACAGTCAGCCCTCCTAAGTAAAGTTTTGGCTACAGACTTTTTATGGCAAATAGGGTGGTGAGAATCGAAGGCGAGGTATTTGTCGGTGTGGGTAGGTTTACGATAGACAATTGTCTTTAAATTACCCTGAACCCCTCTGGGGTTACCTGGAAAAGCAGGATCGAGGATCGATGATCGAGGATCGGGCATCAGTGATTTAAAATATTCAATACATTTTTTGAGTATGAAATCCGCGATGAAAAAAAAAATAGATAAAAAAAGAGATGTTAGCTCCAAGGTTTCGCGGCACGAGAATATAAAACCTCTGGTATCCATTGTGCGACAGCCGGAAACGCGCCTACGTTGTTTGCATGCTGATCTGTGTGTGAATTGTTCACAAAGAGCTGAGAACCGATTACAATTTTGAAATTTCTCTTTATCCATCGAAATAGCCACGTCGTTTCCTAAATCATAAAATAAATTAAATATTAAAAAAAACATTAACAGTTTCAAATTTTTTTTCAATGATACATTTGTTATTTGACAAAGACCAGACTCGGTAGAGTCGCGTAATCGCACCCAGTCAAGAAACATTGTTCGAGAAGTATTGCATTACTTTACGCCAGTACTTTGCGGGTATTGTTCGACGTTCGGATTTTCTTGAGCAGTCGCTTTGACATTTTGCTTTTTCGACATTATTTGGTTAATCATGTCAGCCGAAAGAACTTACGCCGAAGTCGTTGCGGGAGATGAGAAAACTCCACATGACGGCCATAGCTGGATGCGAGCCTACCAGGATCGGGGATCGAGGATCGAGGATCGGGCCTTATTCTTACTAATAATCAAAATAATAGCGAAATTTAATACACTTTTTTTCGTGCGCTCGAAAAATTCGCGAAAATTTGTCAGATTTAGCACTCTCTTGGAATAAGTTGAGTCTGATGAAGACGAAAAATATGGTTAAAAAAAAAAAAAAAGAAATTTGGTGTAGAATTATTTGCAGCATACGCGTATCGCTGTCCCTTATGCCCTTTAGAATTTTCTATTGTTTTTTAGCTCGGGAACAATAAAAAATTTCAACGGGCAAATGCGACAGCTGTTCGTGTATGTTACAAATAAACACACTTTTGGTAATTATTGCTTGAACACTCTTTTAGATACTAAGTACGCGCGCGAAAATTTGTAAGAATTGGTTAAGCATAATTAAATCAAAAATCATGATTAAAAACACTGAATTTGGTGATTGTTGCTTGAATACTCTTTCAGATACTAAGTTTAAAATCTATTTCTTTATTATCGCCAGTCGTAAGTACTGTTTTTATCTGATAGCTACTGGAGAGACTGGGCAGCACCATCAACGGCAAACTCGAATCCTTCTTCCCGCAAATCCAATCCTTGAATAAATCAATCGCGATAGCGAATACCTTGAAACCAATATGTGACCTGTTTTTATTGTATAAGGAGCCAATTACTTGCTGCTTTCCTAGAGTTAGTGAGCGACGAAAAACAGGATGATCAGTTTCTCTAGTACTTCAGTAAACTTAGCCATATTGAGTTCTTTCGCTTGGGATCATCATCACTGTAGATTTACATCAAAATGCAATTTTAAATAGTCGAAATGAACTTTTCCTTAACCTCGGGATCCACACGAAGAAGCCCGTTGTGGAAGTGAGGATGGCGCTGCTTGATGCATTCAGGATCCACATGATAATATCCATTCCGTTCTTTGTAGGACTTTTTCGTGTGTCCAGGGCTTTCTTTGTCTGGATATTCATACCGTTCTGAATGCCGCGAGACAATATCATAAGGAATGGGCCTGTTGCTCTTGGGAAACGACAATCCACACGAAGCACACTTGCTTATGTTACCGGAAATTGATACAACATCAAAGGGGTTGTCATTCTGCCAAACCTCTGTGTAAAGCTTCCTTTTCGAAAGGTCTAAGACTTGGGAAAACTCTTCACGCAAAGGATTTTCCCCTTGGCGGTGCGATGCCTTGTCTTGTTATGTTGGCCTTTTTTCCCGGAAACAGTTCTGTTTATCCCTGTGTTTGCCAGGGTACTAATATTGGTTGTCTTTACAGAGTTCTTACCAAACTTTTCAAAGAATTCCATCAAGCAATGCTCCTTGTCTGCCACTCCAAGGGAGTATACTTGTTCCTTACTTGTTCCTTCAATCAGCAAAGTCTCTCTATCCTTCCAAAGGGGCCAGAAGGAGTCCAACATAACACGAAATTCAACCTCGTTGTCAGAGTCACATAATCCCTTGACGTACACCTCGTGTTCCACGTAGCCAAATACATCATTGAGGAAAGGAGATCTGTCTTTCTTTGTAGAAATTCCCAAATCATTCAATGCATTGTCCATATTTTGTCTAAAATGTCTGAAGTCCCGCAGTGGTTGAGTATTGGAGAAGACGTGCGAAAAGCCGTTCTGGAGAGGCTCTTCGCCGTCCGTAACAATACCTTTTACGTATTTTAGCTTTGGGTTAGCTGCAGCGACACGACTAGCTAAAGTGTAGTAGGTTTCGTGAGTCTTCCTGTAGTGTATCATAACAGGCCCAAGCATGATTGGGTGATTTCCAGTTTGTCGGCTTTTCAGCATAAGATGATGGGTTGTTATAGGTGTGACCGCAAACTTGCCAAAATCAAATGTCGGATCGATGGACATCAAACTGCTTTGAATCGGGCTCGTACAAAATCGTGCCAAGTCGTTTATTCGCCTGTCGTCATAAACAACATACAGTTCTTCGGGGTGGGCCTGGCACAGTCTTATAAAATCCTTCTCTTGTTCTTTCGATGCTCTAAGACAGTCTGCAAAAGAGTCTTGAGTGGCAAGTACCGCTGAGGATGTAGGCTTTGAAAGACGTCTCGCGTCATATATCTGCTGCCTACTGTTTACTATACTGTCTGAGGAATCGGCTCCTAGAACCCCACCAGCATCTCGTGTAAGTTGCTGCAATGTTTCCTTTGGCGTTTCCTTCCTCGTTTGCTGGCTTCTGATGCCTTCAATAACGGTCTTTTTAGTAGGGAAGAAAGGTTTCTTTTTATCTTTGGCATTGCCATGAGACCTAACTTTGAACTGTAGTTCCTCCGCACTACCCTTGACAAGATACTCCAGAACGCATATGTTATTAACCTTTTCACCTTGGGCATCTACATGATGAAAAATATCTATATAGAGATCTTCAATCACGAGGGTTATACGTATGCATATCTTATAATATAAGACGTATCCACGCATAAAGATATTTCCAACAAAGAAATAAATTAGAAAAGTTTTCCACAAAGTTTTCAAGAAGTGTATTTGACACCTAATTTCTATTGACCGCTTATTGCCAATTATTTTGAGTGCTACGCAGCAAAATCTCCTTTCTGTGAAATTTATTACTTAGCTGATGCCTATCCAAGCTTTGGGATAGAAACATGTTAACTAATTCGTTAAAAAAGAACAAAGATCAAATAATATACCGAATACATTTTTGGGAAGTCATAGCTCTTGTGCTAGAGTTTTCATACCATTTAAGACTACAAAGGAGTCTGTTTATTTTCTTGTGTTGGTCAGTTGTGCGAACGCGCGTGGGCTTTGGATGAAAAGTCTGGAAAGAACGAGGAAATGGATTGTGCACGTGGCTTGCACCACGCCCCTCACGAATTCGCGAATGGTGCTTATTTTCGAGAATTTCAAGATAAAAAGACTGATTAGAAAACTACTCAGTGATAAACTCCAGGACCTTACCTTAAAAATATGACACGATTGTCTTTAAATCCTTGCAAGATTCACAGACGCGGTTCCGTTGTACCAGATGGTAAGTATTATCGATCAAATAAATCTTCCTGTAGTCCAGGATTTGGAAGTAGTCTACTTCATGATCTGCCACCATTTCAACACGGCATGTTTTTGACCAAGTGGCTTGGTGTTTGTACGCACTATTTTCGTCTGCATGAAGATCTTCGATGGGAAGCTATCGAAGATCAATGTGGAAACACTTCCTTGAACGGACTCTAATTGGCTGTTTTCTGCAACGGAACTTGTTTTGTGGGTCAGCAAAAACAATTTCGGCAAGCTCCTGTGCAGAATAACCATTCTTGCGCCCTTGCTCGTGTAATGGGGTGTCAAGGCTAACAAATCAGACGCACTGTCGTCAGCGGGGCTGGAAATACGATGACCAGTTTTTGTCCTGCATTGAAAGGAGAAAAGAACTTATGCCTGTTTTGGCGATTATGTATGAATACTACATGAAAGTGCGAAGATATGGAAGTTTTTTTGGAGTATCCAACCTGATATCTCAAGAGCAAGCGCAGCAATATGAGTAAGATACAAAGGAACGTAAAACTAACGTTGGTCTTTCATTTTCTCGAAGATTTCCGACCCTTCCTGAAAATTTCCCCAGAGTCTATGTATGTTTTCTGAAGGCAAACAAGCGTTTTAGTTAAAACATTTACCAGAGAACACCGACGATTTCCCAAAATTGCTGAACACTTCTGAGGAAGACCCGAATATGTTTCAAATATGCACTAACAAGTTTGTGTAAAAATATAAAATGCGCTATTATACGTGACTGCGTTGATTATGATGACAAAAAATAATTGTATAACAGAAATGCGAAAATGGCCGTCAAGGTACAAAGCACTTTAAAATAGGTGGAGCAAATATACGCCCTTAAAAAGATATAGACCGAATATTAGTAATTACTTACTTTTTAGGTATGAAGATTGATTTTGAAAGCATTTCATCGCTATCACTATCAGGATTCACTTTAGTTCTGGTTGTACTGGATCAAGAAAAAAAACAAAATCATCTGTCTTGACAACCGCAGCTATATGAAACATTACAGTTACTTCCGAAATGCTATTAATTATAAACAGAACGGCAAAGCACAAAAAGGCCTTCATGGAGGCAAGTATACGCTTTTACAGAGAGTGGACACAATAATGGTTTTTACCCACTTTTTAGCTACGAAGATTGATTTAGAAAGCATTTTGTCACTATCACTATGAGGGCTCACTTCAGTACTGGGTCTGTTGAATCAAGAGAAAAAAAACCTCTAATTAACAATCATCTGTCTTCCAATATTGACAAAAAATGAAATATTTCAAATACAGTTCCCTTCTTATTAAAGGAGATATAACTCCAGGTTTATTGCTATGGTTTCCAAACTTTCTCTGTCTCTCTCTATCTTTCTACTACCACTCGGTATAGGTCAACTTGGAGGGGGGCACTGTGAAGAGAGTAGAGTGTCTTTGCCCATAGGCTCAAACCTTAACCGCCTGACCCGAAGTTCGGCGTACTGATCATTAGACCAAGGTGTCACAAAGGGCGCGTGATCCTGAAATTTTTCGTTAATTATTCCTATATGCAAGTTAGCTTCATGCGTTCGTGTTAAAATACACGTCAAAAATAGTTTCTGCAACAACATTTAGCCATTCAAAGAAGTGTTCCTATAAATGTGAAACTCATCTGTTGTATCCTTTCTTAAAAGCTTTACGTAAAATTTCAAGGGCCATTTCCTTTGAACACAATGCGCTAAAGGAATCCAGTTTGTTTTGACAACTAAGTTGTTCATTTCGCTCAATTGTTTTTATCTTGTGCATAATCTTTTTCAGACCTCTTTTGCCGTTTTTCTTCGGGAAAATAATTCACCCTTACTTGGGGAAAAATTTCGTCTCACTATTTGTAAAAGTTTTTTAGATTGTGACCTCGTTGGTTCTCATGATTAACACGGTGGAGTTTTCTCAGCGTGACTGTGGACTGCAGTGAACTAGCCTGGTCACGCAATATCAGCATTAAAAGATTGTCTCACGGCTGGTGAACTCAAATTAAAGAAATATTTAGCTCGGCATTTATATCATGATATGTTGATGTTTCGCCATCGAGAGTATGAAAATCTCCCCAGAAGAAATTGAGAAATTATGCAACCGATAGAAATTGGTATATTTAATTTAGTAAACGTTTCCAAGAGTAGGTAAGCGAATTTAGTAACTTCAGTTAAAGGCATAAATCATTGAGAAAATATCGAGGAGGCAATAGAGAAAGTCTCTTTTGTAAATGCTCGTACATGCTATAGAGTGAGGGTCAACATGACTCACGGTCACAGTAGGCCTATGATTTTTTGTTTTGAAATTAAAGGCACGCCTACAAAATAACAGGCGCCAATTTTAAAATGATTTTTACGGGTTTGCTTATGTTAATGCTTTAAGTGCTCTTATTCATTGACATAGAACTGTACATCAGGGTACTTAGAGGCGGTGCACATTGCTTCTCAACAAATTCACTGTAAATGCCCTGTCATTGATTTGCCAAGGCTCCATGCTTACAGTCGTCCCAACCGTGAACTGTGTGTTACACTTCATTAAAGCATTGAAATTCTTGTATAAAGGACATCGGTTGTTCAATCAGGTCTTTTTTCCTGTCTCTTGATTTAAATGGTACTTCAAAAAAGCGCAAGATTTCTTTAAGCAGTGAACATTAAAAAGACTCGGCTTATTATCTCTCGCACACTCGCACAAGTTAAAGGCGTCGTAGGACAGAGGGTGTTGCGGCCTCAGTTCGTTAGAAATGTGCGCCATCAGCTGTTGTCTTTCAGCTTCTTTTTCCTCTAGAAGTAGTTCCTTTGGATTGTGCTCGATTTCTGGGTGTGCTTGTTGCCTTCTTCTGCTTGCTGCAAGGCGAGAAAAGAAACCCTGTACTTGGCTCTTAGTCAACCACTCGTCTCGTTCAAACAACCTTCTATTCTGCTCATCTCTTGTCTAGCGCATATCACTTGAGACTTGCTGAGGGTCAGCTTTTAGCCCTGATTATTCCCCTAGGTCACACTTTGCAGTTAGATATTTCTTAACTTTGTCAGTTAATCTAATGGATCCTGCTCGTGGCCTGTGTAGGGCCCAGCCCATAATGACAGTGTGCAACGCGGGTATTGAGACATTTTCACTTTGGCAGATATTAGGTTCAGACGGTTCATTTTCAGTGACGTTGACTGACGTAATAAATCTGTCTGCCCAATCTCTTCGAAGCTTGTCATATAACGTTTCTGACGGCCTTTCATCTTTGACGCAATGATCCCCTACGTCCAAATGTGACTCGAGCTCTGAAAATGTTTGGAAACTCTTCACGCATCCAGGCTCGGAACATTCAAACATGCTTATATTCGAATCGTCCCAGTCATTCTCTTCTTCTGAACTCTCTGTCACAGGATCTGAGCATTGATAAACACGTGCATCATGAAGAGGGAAAGATTTTTCACTAACAACGATACCAGTGTCCCCTTGGCCCTTTAACACCAGCTGGTCAAAAGAGATTTCCTTGCCACGCCATATTCGGTACGACCTCCACACACGAATACCTTTCTCCTCAAACTGGACATTGTGAAGCTTGCTAAAACCATCTATCTTGTTCACTTCTAGGCCGGTTATCTTCGCCTCGTCAACTTCGCAAACGCATGCGGATGTACCTTTCACTGGTCTTTCAGAAAGTGCCCTCCTAATGTCTCCCGCTGATTGAATGTCGTGTCCTTCGTTGCAGAAACGTCGGATGCATGTTTTCATCGGACACAGAATTCTATCACATACATCCTTACCATATTGTGGCTCTGAAAAGTCGTACCGACAAACTTCTAAACCAACTCGCTTATCAATTCCTCTTGCTGCTGCAATGAGGGAGTTATTATGATAACAGCCAGCTTCATCTGACCGCAGATAAACCCAGGTGATGTGAGACTTTTCGGTCTTAATTTCTCTCAGTGTGCTTTCTATGAACACACAGCGAACCAGTCCTTCTGGCATGAGTCAAACAGATGGGCATACGACCGTAGTTCTAGTCTTCCCTCAAGGTTCGGATCACGTGTGATCACCGTCGAGATGTGCCAACTCAATCCTCTCTTGCCAAACCAATCTGACTGCTTCTCACGATATTTAAGCTGATGGAACTTCATTGCCCAGTCCATTATTACCAGTGCACAGTTCTGATTAGTACTTATCGTCTTCAGCTGATCTTGCTTTGCTGCTTCCTGGTTTACAGAGCAAACAATATGAGCCTTCCACTCAAAAATATCTGTGCCAGTTTGAAGTCGTATAGCAGATCATCTTAATGTTCACTGCCATAAGGGATCCAAAATGGACCTCGAACTTTGTCTTTGACTTCATCTAAGACATTTCGCAGATTTTGACACTCGTTACAGTTTTCTGTGTGTTGATGGGAGCATTTCTCCTGGAAGTCGGGATCTTTTTCGTCACATAAAGCGAACTTGCGGCATTGATCAGGACATAAAGCTTCCTCTGGATTGCAGTGAACGCGATAATTGGTCTATAAGTAGCGTTTTTCACTCTTAAGCCTTTCCTTAACCTCAGCGCACCATTGCCTGTTCATTCCTCCTTTCTCTAGATCATCGACAATCATTTCAATTTTCTGGAAACCAGCAGAGCCATCGGCAGCAGTATTGTCGAGGCCTTGTAACGACTTTCTCTGTGAAGCTTGTCTGACTTCTAGGATTTTGAATAAAGTGGTGCGACTGAGAGGTTCAAACTTCTCCTCCTGACAAAACTGTATGTACTGGCTAATCATCGTAGACGGCGTCACGGTACGCACCACGTTCGGCATCTCGATGGTTTCGCCACTGTCTAGCTTAAGGAATTTAGTTCCGTAAGACACGTCTTGATAAAAGTATGGGCGATTAATGAACTCAACGAAATGATCGACTTTGGTCATATCAATGCGAACACGATGATGTACCTTCTCCTCAGGCACTTGACCGGGACCTATCGTTCTTGCATGACACCGCGCTCTCTGTATCTGTCGTGTAGATAACTTTCCATATGGCGAGTGAAGTTCTTTTGATGTGCTAACCGAGTACTTATACGCATAAGAATTTGTATCTTGATGCTTTTGGTTTTGGCGTTTTTGTAAGCGGTCATCAAAGATTTCAACAAATCATCAGCTTCTGCTGTCTCATCCTTTTCTCCACCTGGAGAAGACAAGGCGTGAAAGAGCGTCTCGCCGTCGTTTGGGGCTATCACATTACATACGAGCATACAGTCTTCAACCGCTTTCTCGATGTAGAACTGTCGCTGGGCTGGACTGCTTTCTTCCCACGAGACAAGCTGTGATAGTAGTGGCTGTCGCTTGCGAGGAATATTTCTGGCAACCTCGTCCATCGCAGCATTGTAAGTACCAAGAATCTCTGCTTCGGGGATCTGACGGAAAGTTGCTTCAGGAGTTGCTGGAGTCCAACAGGGACTAGAAAAGGGTTTCCTATTTGGGGTAGAAATCTGACGAAATGGCGTTGTCTCCATTTCAGCAGCATGTGCTCCTATGGCTGTTCTTGCATCAGCTTTGGTCGCTCTATAAGATAAAACAATCTTACTGACGGTATGAACGGACATTATTGGACATGTTCTCTTCGAAGGAACGAGTCGGTAAAGAAAGGGATTCACAAAGGAAAAGAGGGGTAACTGTTATCCCATAAAAAGTTAAATCTGCAGCCACCAACACAATTTTTGTCTCAGTTTCGTACTTGGCATGTGCTTTCGATGTATGGCGTGGCATGCGAATAAACAGCTTGCGTGGTGAGGTATCTTAGGAGCAATAAAATATCCAACAAACCTCTCGGAATCTGCAGCTTCCAGGTTGACTGAGCCTTTCGTAGAACTGTGCCATCCCAAACCCAAAAGTCGCTCAGAATGCTTCTTCCGGCAAGTGGAGCAAATAGCTATAAAATTGCATCAAGACAACTGATAAATCGTCGTCGTCTTCATCATCCTCATCGTCATCCTCATCCTCATCCTCATCCTCATCCTCATCCTCATCGTCATCCTCATCCTCATCCTCATCCTCATCCTCATCCTCATCCTCATCCTCATCCTCATCCTCATCGTCTAGCTTAGCCTAAGTCATTTCTAAGAGAAATACTAGGCGTTTCAAACACATCTAGGAGACCTATAGTCTCTATCGTGCGTAACACTTGTCGCTGTGGGTGTGAGATAAAGGAAAAGTTTTTTCGAACCGCAGAGACGAGTAAAAGAGGGCGACATCGCGCGAGGCATGGGAAGGAGATGCAGATTCACCGCTCAGGACTATATTTGTTTCCTTCATTACCACCAGCCAGGCTGCCCAGTAGTCTTAGTGTAGCAATAGCATAAAAGAATTAAAGAAATTTCCTTGTTTGATGATAAAACACGCATTTTTGTATTTACGATTGCGACACCAATAATTAACCAAGGGAAATGGACATGAGACCAACAACAACAAAAACTTATAGGGATATTGACATTTGAGGAAACAGAACTAGAGAGAGCCACAAGGCTATTGGTACTTACGTGATCCTACAGCGGCGATTTCTTTGAATATAAGTCTTACTTCGTCAGCTATTTGGAAGGTTATGACGTGGCTGCCCGTCACACTTGTAACTTTCCCAGTATGGCCAGGGTATTGGCACGATCTTGGGCCTCGCCAGAATCTTCCCAGTAGGTGTCTGTACCTCAGGCAGATGGTCATTCCCTCGAGCTGAATTCTCGACAAATGCTGAATTCCCGCTCTCGCCATGATTAACTTGGCTTCTGTAACTTCAATGCATTTTGACAAGTGGCACCTAGCCAAATGGGCGGATATATTCTCCGAGAGCAAAACATAATATTTATATATACATTCCGAGAGCAAAACATAATCTACTTCCTCCCTACTAGAACCGCATGGACTTTGAAGTATTTCGTAAAGAGAACAATTTGGGGGGACAGCAGACATTTTTAGTGCTAACAAAGAAAACGTCCCAGGAAACACTGTCTCAGATTTGTCTGAAAATCTTGCTGAAAAATCTTTTTGTTTCCGACAGATTTTAATTGAATTAGGAACAAATAAACAAGTTTGCCAAATATTCTTTCGCAAAAAATAGAAATGCCACACAGAAAAGTTGAAAAGTTTTACTTTAATAAGCTTTAAGCAAAAAACGTTTCGTGTCTTTCTGAAGAGATGTATCTCTAATGAAAGGAAATGTAGCTGCCGTCGAATTCCTTTTTCAAAATTAATCAGTAATTGAATTAGGTAAAACAGAAACTCACGGCTTCTTTTTGGCGCCTCTTAGAAAATGAAAATGGTCATAAAAATAGAATACAAAATTTTGTCATGAAATACCGAAAAAATTCCTACAATACAAAGAAAAAAAAAGAAAAACACAACTCTTAGTCATCAGGAAAACCCTGAAAAAATGTCCAAGACTACACATTACATAACATCCTGTAGTTAATTTGCATACGGTAATTTATTAACCGCAAGAAGGCTTTCCCTCTTTGTTTGTTCTTCAGCACACCTATATCTCAAATACAACGGTGTAAACGTGATATGATACTTATTTCTAATCTACAAACCAACCTCTCATTATTTATTACTTGATTTTATGGTGGTTCTCGGTCCTGATATTGATAAATTGTCGAACCGTGTTTTATCGAGATAAAAACACTTGAGCGAAAAGAACATCTTTATTTATCAAAAAAAACTGGATTCCGTCAGCGCATTGTGTTCAAAGAAAATGGCTCTTTAAATTTTTACGTAATGCATTCAAGAAATGATATAACTATTGAGTTTCCACATTCTTAAAAACACTTCTTTGAATAGCTAAATGTTGTTACGGAAACTGTTTGTGACGTGTATCGTATAAACGCGATCGCTGCAGCCAGGAGGCTGCAGTTAATTTGCATATAGGTATTAAAAAGTATTTTCCGGAATATTTGAGCCATTTCGTTAAAAAAGGCCAAAATGATGATTAATATCGATCTTGATACTCCATCAGATAATTGTTCCTGCACCTTCAAGTGTTTTAGGGCTGTTAAGCTTTACAAACCTGTCTGCTGGTAGGACTGCGTTATCTTTGGTATCGATCAAGACGGCGAATATTTATTAAATTCACAAAGCTCTCTACGGCGCAGAATGTGGAGTGCCCAAAAGTTTTATTCCATATTTAACTTGCTCTATCTAAGTACTTTTAAGCTGCAATAGACTTGACTCTAGATCAGGTCCCACATAAGAGAAAATAACTTTCAACCGCATGTACCTCACTCCTCACAAATTTTAATGCTCATGATAAGGTACTTTGGAAGTTTCATAACTCGGTAAACATTTTACAGAATGCAATCGTTTTACCTTTGAAGTATTTAAATAAAGCTATTCTTAAATATGTAAAATAATCAGCTTTTTAGATTGGGAAATAAGGATTTGGTAGCGCTCGATATTTATAGCTTAATTATAGAGGTTACAGAAGACAAATTGAGCAGTTTTGGGGTGACCTTTAAAATTGTCTCGTTAAAATAAAAAAAATAAAATTGATCAAAACAAATGTGATATTTGTACATGGGATAGAATTGTTGACTTTCACTGAAAAACTTAGGGAAATCGGTGTAGGACCAAAATTTGCCTTATACGTTCTTACGCGGAGAGCCTCTTAATGTCGCAAATTAGTGGTATAAAAACAATGGCATGATTGTTAACGAGAAAAAGCACCAAGCTCTAATCCTGGGAAAAACTGAGCACAATTTTTGTTTCCTAGTAAAGAACTCGATAGATATATTAAGGATGACAATAGATAATAGGTTCTCTTTTGATAATCACGTATCAGTTATCTGTAAGAAAATAAATAATCAATTTAACGCTCAGATTTCGGAAACTTATAGATAAGGAGACGCTATTGAAGCTTTATAAAGCCTTTATTTTGCCGCATTTTTACTACTGTTCTTCTGCTTGGCATTTCTGTGGTGCGCGCAATGACGACACAGTAGATAATCTTAATAAGCGCATTCTTAGGTTTATAATACAGGACTACAGCTCTCCATATGACATTCTACTAAAGAAAGTTAACTTAAAATCTCTATTCATTAGACGCCTCCAGAACTTCATGATCACGTTATATAAGAGTCTGTTCTTTACAAATTATTCAGGTTATTTAAAAGATATGTTCACCGTACGGTCTTCATCCTACAATTTGCGCGGAAATCATATCCTGGCCCTTCCCAACCCAAAAACAACGACTTACGGTCTGCACTCACTTTTCGTACGTAGCTAGCAAAATATGGAACTCTCTCCCAGACACTTATAAAACATTAAATTTTCAAGAATTCAAGAAGGAGATCCTCAGATATGAAGCTTTTTCACAGTAGATCTACAAGTTACATTTCCCTCTGCATGCACAATGTGGTATATAGTTTATAAATAATATTGGAATTCATTAGTAGCTTTGTATCCTCAGCCAGTATATTAGTAGATCCGTTTCAGTAGCTCCTTATCAGTTGCCCCTATTTCAATAGCTCCTTATTAGTGGCCCCTTTATCTTTAGCTCCCTATCAGAAACTTCGTTTCAGTAGCTCCTTATCAGTACCTCCGTATCAGTAGCTCCTATTCAGTAGCTCAGTGTTAGTAGCTCAGTATCAGAATCTCCTTATCAGTAGCTCCTGTATCAGTAGCCCTGATAACAATAGCTCTGTTCTAGTAGCACTGTATCAGCAGCTCCTCATCATTAGTTACGCAATATTGACCCCGTAACAGTGGCTCCTCATTAGTTGCTCGGTATTAGTAGGTCTTGTATTAGTAGCTCCGTATCACTAGCTCTCTAGCCCCTGTATCCGAAGCTCCGTATCACAAACTCCGCGCCAGAAGCTTCGTATGAGTAGCTCTGCATCACTTCCTTCTTATCAGTTACCCCATATCAGTAGCTTCTAATCAGTAAGTCTGTGTTAGTGGTTCTGTAGTAATAGCTCTGTATCAGCGGCGTCATTAACTCTTCTTCAGTAGGTCCTAATCAGGAGTTCCATTCTAATAACTTCGTATAAGTAGCTGTGTATTAGAAGCTGCGTAATAGTGGCTCCTTTATCAGTAGCTACATGCAAGTATCTCCATAAAAGTGCCACTATATTAGTACCTCCGTATTAGTAGCTCCGTATATGAGTAGCGCCATATCAGTATCTTTGAATCGGACGCTCGATATAAGTAGCTCCCCTGTTACTTAATACGTATCAGTGGTTTCTGTATCATTCACTTCATATCAGTGGCTCCATATTAGATACTCTGTATCAGTAACTACCCATCAGTAGCTCCCTATCATTAGCTCCTTATAATGAGATACCGATTAGTAGCTTTGTAAAAGTAGCTCCATATTAATAGCTTTGTTTTAAGTTGTCCCGTATCCGTAGCTCTATATCTGAAGCTCCTGTATCAGTGGCTTCCATTAGTTACTCTATATAGGTAGCTCTTTTCTAGTATCTCGTAATGAGTAGCACTGTAGCTGTAACTCAATATCAGTAGCTTCTCATAGGCTGCTCCGAATCAGTAACTCTGTGTTAGAGGCTCCAGCATCAGTAGCTCTGTATTAGTAACTTCTTATCAATAACTCCTTATAAATAGCTCCATATCAGTAGCTCCTTACGAATAGCTCCATATCAGTAGCTTTTGTATCAGAAGCTCCACATTAGTAGTTTGGTCTCAGTAGCTCCATGTCAGTTGCTCGACATCAGTAGCTTCGTTTTAGAAACGCGGTATCAGTTGCTCCCTACAGTAGCACCGTTTTTGTAGCCTAGTACCAGTAGTTCCGTATCATTTTCCCTGTATCAATAGCTCCATATCAGTATCCGTTGCAGAATCTTTGTATTAGTGGCTGCATATCAGTAGCCTCCTGGTTGTCATGAACATTTATACGCCCGTCAATCACTTATGTCACGTCACAATCACTAAGTAACTAATTACTTCACTTTCATTGTACAGTTCAGTCTGGTTGATAATAAACTTAGTCAGTCTGATCAAATATCAGCGAAATATCTCTGAAACTGGTAGTAGGTCTGTATCAGTAGTTCCTTATCAGTAGATCCTGCGTTACTAGATCCTTCATTACTAGCCCCGTAACAGCAGCTGTGTATTAGAAGCTGCATATCAGTACTTTCGTAAAAGTGCATAGATCTGTATCAGGATTTATAGCTTTATAATAGTAGCTCCGTTTCAGTTGCTCCTTATCAGTACTGGCAGCGTATCAGCAATTAAAAAGGGTGGCCTTATTTTCACTACTGCTTAGGTAGTGGTCATAACTGCGAAGATCGCTTCCATATTCATCTGTTATCCGCAGTTCACATTTGATTCTCATATATTTACAGTTAGTTATTTATCACTTTATGGGTTTATTTGAGACCAACATAATGACCAGCTCCCACTTGGCTTGTTAGCTCATTTGGTAAAGCGCTGCACTGGTATCGCAGAGGTCATGGGTTCATATCCCATACTGCTTAGGTAATGTTCATAACTACGAAGATCGCTTCCATTTTCAATTCTTCAACCACAGTTCACAGATATGATTTTCATATACTTGAAATAATTCCCGTACTCTTTTAATTAGCTTTTTTTTTTCCTAACGCCAAAAATTATCCGTCTAATGTTGGAAGAACTGTCTGTACTCTTAAAACAAGAATTTGTGTTTTCCCAAACTAAAGTCTTCAATTTGTCCACAGAGTTCGTCACACGCCGCCATATTGAATTTTCAAAAATAACCCCATGGAATACCACAGGGTCCTGTTCGACCTTAACCTCTGACGTCATCAGACAAGTGGTTTGTGGTAGTTCTTTTCTGTGGCAGGCCTACGATAGGATTTGGCCGGCTTTCATTTTTCCATGGTTAAAGCAAAACGACGATTGCATTAATTCTTGAAATGCCTGCAATTTTTGCCTTTTTCCGTATCTCTAAGCAATATATGAGTTGCCAGTAATCGGATCTTTGT